TGGGAGGGGGGGGGAGAGAAAAATTAACGAGCAGAACGTTGCCGGGCCGAGACAAGAATAAATAGCGCGCGCGGCTCGTTATAAATTTGTAGAAAACTACGTCGGGTGAATTGAAATGGATGAAAGGACATTTTAGAGACTCTGTAGACCGCGAATCGTTTCTGAAGAGATTTAAAAAAAAAGAGAGGAGGCATATGGAAGAGACGAAGAAAATGAATATGTATAAAAAAGAGAATAATAAACGTAGAAGAAAGAGAAGAGGAAGAGGTGGAAAAAACGCAAGAACCAAGGATTAAATGGCTCAGAGACTCAGGGGGGAAACGAGTTTAAGAAGTTGCTCGATTTGTTCTTCTATTCGAAGAAGAAATTTTCTCGATAGGCTGACTCGATCGCTTTAACATTTTCACCGCAGGATATCCTCAATTGAAGCCACCTTTCAATCGAAGGAATAAAGAAGGGAACAGGGAGGAGAGAAGAGTAGAAATTGTTTATCGTATCGCATCGTAGAATGTGACTTGGTACATCAATTTGTACAGTAATTCGTTATAGGAGGAAATTTTGTTATAAAAATAGTAGAACAAAATTATATTTTGAAATAAATTTTAGACGAATACTGTGGATTTTAATGGAGTGATGGTTCTTCGAAAGATTGTGGAAGATCATTGAGGGTAAGAAAAAAAAGTAGAAAATATACTGTAATTTGTTTACGATATACTAAATCGAGACTAGTTCATAGAAAGATCTATATCCGAGTATCTGAGAACAAACAGAAAAAACAAAATCCTCAATTAAAATAAATTGCGGGTTAACTTAACTGTTACAGGAATCTGAATTCTCTCAAGCATTAGAATACATTACCGGATAACATTAAAATACATTACGCACTAGCTGTAATATATTCATAAGAAAATTTATAAAAGATTTGTACTAATTTTCTTCGTGTATCTTCTCTAGTATTTATCTCGTACTTATGTCTTATACATTTTAAATTCCACGCTGAATATAAGAAAATTCCGTTTTAATTAAAATTTCCGTTTACTAATTTAGTAAGTAGAATTAATCTCTCAGCTTGCATTCTATTCTACTGTCCACGTCCTGATATGTTTTCATTACAATGCCATTTCATATATGACAGAGGGGGACAATAACAAAGGACGATTATAGCACTCCTCGGTGATGCGACGTGACAAAGGACGAAGCGCCTCATTTGCAGCGCTGTTTGTTTTCCCAAAGAAAACTGTTTAACCGTTCAACCAACACCGATGGAAATGTCAAACGGAAAGTCAATCAAAGCAACGAATTTTTGTTCCAAGCTTACAGGATGATTAAATAATACTTAATAAATAGTTAGGTTTCATTCTTAGGTCCAAATAAGCCAAACAGTTATTGTTTACTCTTAAAGAATTGTTCCTGAGTTACCCTGTACATCTATCTATTCTGATCCATTCAAAACACGTTTACTACCGTACTTAATTTTTGAATCACATATACTTTCGCATTTTCTCTTTTACGAAAAGCATTAGTCTCAAAACTCTTCTACGAAACATTTAATGAAGAAACGAAAAGAAAGAAAACTTATCCTAAAAGCTTCTAGATCTTTAGATCTTCCTTCTTTCAAAAAACCAAACATGTAGGTAAAGGACATGCCTACCAATTTTTCTGTTGAAAAGAGAAAGAAAGAATAGATCAAAGATTACGTTTTTCTTCCCTGAAGCAGCTTATAAGAAACCGAAGATACAACAAATAGATGACGTTCGATAAGAGACATAAAAGAAAAAATGATTTAGAAATTACGTTTCCTTTTCCTGAGATAAACCTCAAGGAAAGAAGTGTGCATTTTCTTCCCACAGGCAATTCTTAAGAAACAGCAAAATACATTAAACGAATAACAAATTCGAACTTCCCCAGCATCGACAGAGGAAAAAGATACACGAAAAATCAGTTTTTCTGCCCAGGAAAACAAACGCGAATGAAGCAAAGCGAAGGAGAAACGTGGCTGGTTTCTCGAACGAAAGCAGGAAGATGTTATGGCGACTTACCCCGGAACACGCCTCTCACGTGAGAATCCCCATACTGCTGACTCCGCTTCGATTTCCAGCTGGATACTAGGAATCGGATCTCCTTGGACGGAGATCGACGTCGTGTCTCGTTTTTTCGTTTACGTGAAACGGCGACCAAAAAGGTCACCGGTTCGGAAAGAGGTCGACGAACAGAGAAAACGTAGACGCGTGGAAAGCACACAGG